GACTATAATTTTTCATTTTTGTATTTTTAAACAGCTATTGGTGATCCTCTTGGAGGCTGTTGTAGTACACCGATCCCTGTTGTATTTTTAAACAGCTATGGGAGGTTCCAGAAGAGGAATTTAAAACTGTGATAGATACTAATCTAAAAGGAGTAGAAAATATGTTACGTCACTTCATTCCTCTTATAATTGAGAAAAAACAAGGGATTCTTGTTAATATGTCGTCTAGGTGGGGAAGATCTGCTGCAGCACAGGTAAAAATTGAAACCAATAAAACATTTTTTTCATATTAAGTCTTTATGTCTGGATAAAGTGTTGTATACACAAAGTCTTTCTTTACTAGACTAAATAAACCATATGAATCATACTAATAAACCATATGAATCATACTAAATGTCAACTTTATAAATTAACATAGATAGGCATAGCTGTTTTACTTTTATTAAAGATCAGATTATTAATTTTTTAAACTTTGGTTTAAGATCCTTCTAATTTAGCTCTTCTCTCTATCCAGTTTTTGTTTTTTCTCTTCAATTTTCTTTATTTTTTTTATGAGATCATCTCCAATGATAGTTTTTTTAAAGCTTTTTACTATTTGAAAAAGCTTACCATTGGAGAAGAAGACTAAACACTTATTTTCCCTAACCTTTTATTTGTCTTTTAAGCTCTGTCACATTTGATATTTACATTTTCTAGCTCTTTATTTATACACCAACTATATTTAGTTATTAGATTTATTTTAGGCTTTGTATTTAGTTAATTAATTTATTTAATAAACAAAATAAAAATTATGCAGTTACATAATCTTTTATCGTTTTATCATTATAATGTTGAATAATGTTTTTTTTTAAAAAATTTTAATAATAATTTCATGTAAGGGTTTTTTTCTCCGAAAATACTACATATGTTGGTAAAATTATAAATTGTACGAGTGGATTTAATAGAACATTTAAGATAGATAAAAAGATAATTTGATTAACTTTTGAGAAAAGCTTTATAAAAGGTTCACCATTAAAAAGGTTCTTTGATAAAAGCTTTTTGCCAAATAGAAATATAAAAATTAATAATATGACGGAAGTCAAAATACTTTTGTTTAATCGCTGAGCTGACATTATATTTCTAAGATGTTAATGGGCTTATATGCTTTCATAAATTCCAAATTCCAAAATATCGAAACTTTTAGATATGTCTGCAGCATGCAAGACTCTGATTTTTGTCACACCCCCAAACCAAGGATGGCGGAAACGTCTGGGGGTGGAGGACTTCATGTACAGTATCACAACAACGTGTATAATAGTGCTCAAAGTAAAAACAACCACCATATATATAATTGCAAAAGTTACACCAAAGTATATGTTTATATGTTTCAAAAGCAATTACATTATGATGACAAAATAAATTGTTGACGGTTTAACGTCCCATCCTCAAAGCGATGAAGTTTTACTGTTTCACTGATTTCCTGAGAATACAAGTAGTTTTAAAAGTGTCAACAATTAAGTTGGTGAGTTCATAAGAGTTTTATTTGAAGTAGAAACCGTTTTCCTTGTAAAATCGATATAGTTTGATTTCCAGAAAATCCAATATTTTCTTAGTTAAGTGTGAATAGAAATATTCCTATATGATGCATTAATGAACCCTAGAATGACCCGTAGAGTTCCTCTATAATCGTCCAACGTATATAAGTTATATAAGGTTTAAATTAGATAAAACGTTGAATATAGTGGGTGTGCCCTAGGTCCACAACCAAACAAGGAACAGGAGATGAGGCAGGCATCACTAATTCTAGGCCAATCGAGACAAAATTCTTATAAGACTCAAACATGTACGCTCAGCGATTATAGTTGAAGTCTAACAGTTCTAGATGCAATATAGTTTTAATATCATAATAACTAACTTAAGTGAACCTGGTACTTTGTATCGGTACCCCCTTTCTTTATAGAGACCCGGCACTTTGTATTTGTACCCCTTTTTGTATAGAGACCCGACACTTTGTATTTGTACCCCTTTTTGTATAGAGACCCGGCACCTTGTATTTGTACCCCTTTTTGTATAAGTGTGTTGAGTGATGTATCATAAACTATACCTATTATAGTTCATCTAAAATGTATATAATATGTATGAATTCTTTTATGGAAATGTATTAGTGTTGTGAATTTATCAAACTATACTTTTATAGTTACATAATACGTGTTCTAAATGAATGAATAATATTAATATGAATGACTTAGTTTCAGTTCATAATGATAAACTAGCAAGGAAACACATTCAAATATTAGAACTTATGATTATACACTTTGCTCAACATAATACAAAGTGTTATGATATTTACATGCTGTTGGCAAAATTTAGCAATTCTGCCCTGTTTTGGAAAAATCATAGAAAAATCATACGAAGTCGAAAACTAGATCCGTAAATTCTGAGAGTTCAAAAAATGTGTCTAGTTTGCTCATAATTTTTATCACAATTTTTAATGACCTCTAACTTGGGTGAAAAAGTCCATAATCACAGACTGGTCCGGATTATTGTTTGAAATGATAGGCAGTTTTGTAAAAATCACCATAAATTGTAGAAAAATCGTATGGAGATGTGCAAGTAGTCATTTTAAAGCTAAAAACTTGAACTATTTGAACCTTGTACAGTTTTTAAAACAAAAATGTTTAAGATGCCCAAAACAGTCCGTGAATGGAGTTGAACTTTTCTGATGAAGGCTGTTAGAAATTTTAGTTATGTTCTTGATGTTTTAACTTGTATTCCCCCCCCCCCCTGAAAACTTGAGAAAACATGAAAATGTAGGGGTATGGACTCACCTTAAGTGATTTCAGTAGGTAAGTGTTGAAGAAGAGAAGTGTTCAACCCAAGAACACTTGAAGAATCACTTGAAGATTCGAAGATCTAACACAATTATGAGAGAGTTTGTTTAAGATATCCATGATTTGAGTGGAAATAAGTGAGATAATCATAAAGAGAATGGATTATGCTTACCAAATGTGGAGGAAAAACTCAAGATCAGCCCTTGAATCTCGAATTTCTAGAGAGAGAAAGTGAGAGAGGAAAGAGTTTGATCTTCTTGTGAAATGAGAGCAAATGAGAGAAGTGAGGAGAGAGGATGAATATTCAGCTCTCAAAAACGTGGGAAAGAGTGATAATTGAGTGGAAAGGACATTGATGTGACCTAGGTAAGGTGGGGAGGTGTGGCTGGTCATAGAGTGGGTGTGGGAGTGGTTGCTTGTGTTATAAGGTAAAGCAAAATCAACACTCCACCTCTTTGTACTTTACCCACTTGCTTTCATTATTTAAATAAAGATTTTTATGAAAATATGATTAAATTGTGAATATTTAGGGTTTATTATGTTAAAATATGATTTTGGGTGAAATTCCCACGTTAAAATAATTAAAAACGGGCCTTAAACGCAAAACTACGCGAAAACCGGGAGAAAATGAGTTCCCAGCGAGACCTCTCGGTCCTAGGCCGAGGTTCGGTCCCTAGGCTGAGACTCGGTCCATCCTGAGGATTGTAGCCGGAAATGAACAGAGGGAAACGAAGGGGCGAGGAGGTGAGAAACGAGAAGGCGCGAACCGGAAGTGAGAGGCGAAGGCGAGGGTTCGGTCCGGCGATGAAAGGCGAGAAGTCAGAATCGAACGAACTATAGTGAACAGTACCTTCGGTTCGGTTCTTCCAGAGCGAGGTTCGGTTCGGTTCCTCTTGAGAAGGGTTCGGTTTCGGTTAGTGGTGAACAGTACCTTCGGTTCGGTTCTTCCAGGGCGAGGTTCGGTTCGGTTCCTCTTGAGCAGGGTTCGGTTTCGGTTAGTGGTGAACAGTACCTTCGGGTTCGGTTCGGCTCAGGAGGGTTCGGTTCAGCTCAGGAGGGTTCGGTTCGGCTCCTCTTGCTCTCAGTCCCTAAGAGGACCTTCGGGTCCTAAGAAGCTTCTCTCTTGGTTTCGGTTCCTAAAGCCTATTTTTCTCGTTTTCGCCTCGTTTTGAGCCGTTTTTGACCCGGTTAAGGGTCGGAATGACCCGAATGATTCCAAAAAGTTACGGGAAACTTTTGAGAGAGATTTGGGAGAGATTTCTCACACTTGGAGAGATTTGGGAGAGATTTGACATTCTTGGAGAGATTTCTCATACAAAGAGATATTTGAGAGAGATTTCACATGCTTAGAGGGATTTGGGAGAGATTTGACATTCTTGGAGGGATTTCTCATACAGAGAGATATTTGAGAGAGATTTCACATACTTGGAGAGATTTGGGAGAGATTTGACATTCTTGGAGAGATTTCTCATACAGAGAGATATTTGAGAGAGATTTCACATGCTTAGAGGGATTTGGGAGAGATTTGACATTCTTGGAGAGATTTCTATTACCGAGAGATATTTAAGAGAGATTTCACATACTTGGAGAGATTTGGGAGAGATTTGACATAGAGAGATAGAGTGAAAACGATTGAGAGAGGTTCCGTGTGGGACAGTTGCAAGTGTCCGGCATCGCAATGCATGGTTCGTAAACCCTGTTAAGCCTCGTTTAAGGATCTTACACACTCCCGATGAGTAAGCATCATTGTTTTATCGGTTTGGCTCGCCACGTACTACAGTTTTTAGGTTAAAGAGATCTAGTTGTAACTACTTTTCGATTTATGTTTTCTTATCAGAATAGCGAGTTGTTTAGTAAATACTGAACGTAAGTCCAAGTACACAAGGGTTAGTTGAGCTGATCGGTTTGACTTGTTGACTTTATTTGACTTTGAATCGACCAGAATTTGACGGTTGTCACAATTTTTATCATTCTGTTCTGTTGAGTCACATTGACTTGTTAACCAAATCATGGGAATGGATGTGTGCAGGTTCACTGTGGGAGTGGAAGAGTGTTAACTAAACCTTTTGCTTTTTTTTTGGGGGGGGGGGGGGGAGAGAGGGGGGATAGGAGGTTAGAGGCGGATTCAGGTTGGTTGGGATTTGATTGGGAGGGGGTCCATCGAGATCGGTGGGTTTAGGAAGAGTCTAGATGATGATGAGACACTTGGCAGCTATTGGTGAAACGTATGCCCAAATTGCCCTTGAAGATGCTGCTTGGAACCTGTGGCATGTAAATCCTTCTCAGGCCAGCACATCTACATCCACTTCTTCTTCAAACAATCTAAATCCTTTCACAAGTATTGTAAGACACCAAGGAGGACACACTACTCGGGGTGGGGGTGGGTCCCTTATCAGAACCATGCCAACTCCACTTGTCCCGGATGTTGACTTGTCAAACATAATCGCCATGGTTGAAACCGTTCGTGAAGTCCTTCCCCATGTCCCTGATGAATTAATATTACAGGTACCTATCCTCTCTCTCTCTCTCTCTCTCAATTCCTTTTTATTTAATTTTTTGAATTGGACATGGACATGAACATGATACGATAAAAAGAAAGGCAAGGGTCAGTAGTCATTGGTCATTGGAGGGAGGTTGTGTGCTGACGTCAGCCACCCAACCACACACAGTGTTGTGTAATATTTGAGAGCTATAGTTTTTTGTATATAGGAAAAATAAATTAGACAAAAGTATTGATCAAACTATAGCCCCCCTCCATCCACCTGATTGAGCTTTTAGGGAAAAATGAAAAACAAATTTGTTATGTATTATTGATTGAGATTATGTATGTGACTGATTAACTGGTTTGCGTTTCTTGTTTTGTATTAATAATTAATTTAATGAAAGGGATCTATTATGTGGGATAGGGATAGGGACAGTGGAGGTGGTCAAGTGAGACCCTGTTGCTTTTATTGGGGTCTAGTGCTTATATTTGGGAGTTGGGACTGGATAATAAGTAGGAAAATGGTTGTTTATACCATATATCTTCAACCCATCTAGCTTCGAATGGCAGAAGTATGCTTCCAATTATTTTATTTTCTTTTTCCAAATTCATGAATCTATATTATAAGATATGATGATTGGGATATGATGTCAACAGAGCTGTGGAAGATTTTGATGAGTGGATTAATTGGCTTATGTATAAAGGTGGAGTTGGAGTGAAAGGAGACAATAGTTGGGAATCTTGGCGGGATGAACAGGCATATATCCAGAAAATCAGAGGGCGTGTACGAGATAGTTGAAACTATATTGTGCTTGAGGTTCTTCATATTTCAATACGAGATAGTCTACAAGCTCCAGCTCACTGGAAATCATACATCATTATTGGTACTTAAAATTTTTATTTATTTCACTTTTTTTTCTATGTGAAAATATAGTGACAAAAAATACATTACATGACATGATATGTTAGATGAAATTGTGATGATATACTCTCTAGTTCATAGGATCAAGTATTGTCTATTAGCCTGAGGTATTATCTGCAACGAACATTGATTCTTCTAATAATTAGATTTGTATATTAGTTTTTTGACTTTTATTTGATCAGGTCACAAGAATTATCGGCGCAGGGTTTTCATTAGTCTTAAAGAATTATGAAAGGCAAGATGCAACTCTACTTAGTTGGAATTTGATGTTTATCATATTTGTGTATATCTTTTTAGTTTGTATAGCATTACATTGCCGAAAATGTCCCTTAATAGCAATGTAGCAAGCTTGCTGTTAACATCTCGTGTCAGAAATACAAACACATATCGAAAACCATTTTCTTTCACTGTTGCATTTAAAACCTATATTTCAGTTTCAGATATCAGGTATTAAGTTTTTTCGTTCTTTTCCATGTATATATTACATATAATCATGTTAGAATTTGGTTTATATTAGTTCCTATCAAATGGACTTAATATCATGTTTTTTATTATTGCATCATCTTAGTTGTTCCCAACAGAATGGTGTTGCTGTGTTTTCAAAAAAGATTTCATTCTCTTGTTTCAGTGAAATCTGTGTAGAAGGATTGAAGACGCTGAAATTAAGCACAAGGTACAACCAACAATCAAGATTCTTATTTCAGATCAGATCACAAATTCACAATATATTTATGTGTCTTTGTTATACATATAGATAAGGAAGGTAGATCCGACTTGGGACATGGAGGCTGATGAAGGAGACAATTACACACATATTCCAGTAAGAAATAGAGTTGGATGATTATTTGATACTTTTATAGGAATATATAACCCATGTTAGCAATGTATTATTTTTGTTTAACATTTGGATGATTATTTGTATGACATTTTATAATTTGTGCAATTTATTTTATTTTTTGTGTATGAAATTTTATTTTATATTATGTAGTGGATTGTATTTTTGTATATGGTATTTTATTTCTATTATGACACGTTAAATGAAAATTTAATTTAAAATCTATAAATAATATTTTTTTTTAAACATTTAAAATTATGATACGCAAAAATGTGTGTCATCTTCATTTATGACATGGCCTTTCTTGACAGGGGCTTTCTTCATACGCATTGTGTGTCATTAACACGCGCGTCATAAGGTTATGACACGCGAATGCGGGTCGTCTTACTTTATGACAGGGCCTTCCTTGATACGCATTGCGTGTCGTAAACGTGCGTCGTAATTGTGCGTCGTAAATGAGCGTCGTAAATGCGCGTCGTCTATAGATGACGCGCAAAAGCGCGTCGTCTCTCTTTATGACAGGGCCTCCCTTGACGCGCATTTGCGCATCATCTGAGCCTTTTACGACGCGCAATGAGCGTCGTAAAAGGCTGTTTTTCTAGTAGTGAATCCTCCTTATTACTCCGAAACGTTACATGCGAGTTCTAATATCATAGTTAAATGTTTAGAAACCTAAACACACAAAATTTCCAAATTCGGTCAGCAATAGAACATAGATCCAATCAAACAATATTATCATAAAGCATATAAGACATCTTATAGCATAAAGCATTTAGAACATAAAAGAAAATTAGGCTTCTTCCCAAAATAAGCTATTGATCGTATCTATTCAGGCATACTTTCTAAATATAGCAGACACTCATCTCACAATCATCGCTTAACATTCTAAGTTTACGTATAGAAATCCTACAAATTCCTAGTTCACTTAAACTAATGCACTAATACAAACTGTGACATCCCCAAATTCACGGTCATTTTGAAAATTTTATTTATGCTTATTTTAAAATCAGAGTGTCATTTTTGAAAAATAATATTGCAGAATTTGTTCCTAGAAAACATGATAATTATATTATCAAAGCATTTCCAAAGAAATATATTTTATATATATTAAAACGTTGGGATGTTATCGACAATACAGAACATAAGCATAAATAGACCTTACATTATTACACTAATGATCTACATCTCCTTTGTTCTCTCAATGTAATGTATCTTCACATCGATAATGTAATACAAATAAACTGAGTAGGTCAGGTTGGGAAACCTGGTGAGTACATAAGGTTTTCAACCCAAAATAATATAATAATTATATTTAATCATCAAACAATTAATCCAATTTCTCATCCCCGTTTTCTTCTTTATTCTTAAGGATGTACCCTAAGAATCATCAATTCTTCATTTATTTATTCCTAAGGATTATCCTAAGAAATTAGCACAAAGTCCATCGTTGTCAGGGTTTATCTAACAGACACTAATTCCATAGATGTTGATGTTATCCATTAGGCACAACTGCCAATGTTATTTGTTAGGCACAACTGCTTATAATATCCTTTAGGCATAATTGTCAAGATTTTTAGAATAGTCTGTGGTTGTCATCTATACTCTGCTAGATGACATCATCGTTAAAGTCAAGGCTTCTGATCATCTTTCACCTCTCAACATCTATATCATCTTTCATCTCTCATCATCCATATCATCTTACATCTACCCATCTTTACCGAATATATTTTTAGTTATAAAAATACATATATATAGTTTAAATCAAGTAAAACATGTATAATTCATTCAGCTTATATATATATATATATATATATATATATATATATATATATATATATATATATATATATATATATATATATATATATATATATATATCAGGAACATATATAATAAGCAGGCTTTTAAATGAAAACCAGGGAATTAAACACTGAAAATAGAATAGTGTAGCTTAACTTACCAGGCTTTTAAATGAAAACCAGGGAATTATGCAGGCAGAAATCCGTGTCTAAACACTTCTTCCGTTGGCTTTTAGACGACTCAGAATTTCTCTATCACATCCTAAAACTAGGAGAAATCGAACAAGAAAGAAAAAAGAATTCTAGAGAGAGTTTAGAGGAATTGAGTAAGGAAATATGAAGAATTTATCCTATATTTATAGGTGTTTGATCATGGAGTAGGCCCTAAGTTTTGTCCTTGTCTTCCACGTATGAGCTCCATTTTCTACGTTCTTTATATCCACACATAGGTATTTATGAGTACTACAACTTTCATTTAGGCACCGTCGGCTAATTCTCATTCTCTCTCAGATTTACAAATCTGTATCGATTTTTTTCACGCTATCTTTAACATACGAGCTCTATTCTCGATGTTCTTTATATCTGCATGTTGTAATTTACGATTGCTACAACTTTCATTTAGACTCCATCGACTAATTCTCATTTTATCTCAGATTTACAAGTCTCTATTGAATTCGGCGCACTTAAAGAGTAGAGAATAAGTTCCGTCCATATCTTTAGCATACGAGCTCTGTTTTTGATTGTCTTTATATCATTGAGTTCCTATTAATAATATCTTCAATTCTCATTTAGGTTGTGTTGGCTACAAATCGTCCGATCTAAAATTTGAATTTCAGGTTGTATGCTACTGCACTGAATCTTAGAGAAATCATAACTTCCTCTAACGAAGTCAAAAATTCACTTTTTAATCGCAAAACTTGAACGAGTCATAACTTCTTCGTTATAAGTCGGATTTCAATGTTATTCATATATACAAAATCCTTGTGACATATACTATAACTTTGTCTAAGATTATTTATCCTAAAAAATCTTCTATCTAAAAGTGATTTTTAACGCTTATTATCTCTAAATTGACTAGTCCGAATCTGCGAGCGTTACGCATATTTTCCAAGTGAGTACTAATGGATTGGATAATAGAATTATTAATCCATGTAATGATCTTGGATTTATCAATCTCCCATGAATCCAATAAGGTTTCATAATTAGCAACCTTCTCGTTTGTTGGATTTTCTTGACATCAGTAACAATCCCCACATAGTCTTGCCTCGCAAGAAAATTTTCATAACATAACCCTAATAGCCTTAGTTTTTGCCATCGAGTTGTATACAAATGGAATGAAGAGAAATATCTCTCCAAGACATATTCAATATCAGTCAAACACTACTAGAAAACAGCCCTTTAATGACGTGCAAACAATGACACGCGGTGATTTACGATACGTAAAAGCGTGTGCCCTAAAAATAATGTTATCTCTTCTAAAATTTGAAGGATAATGGACACGCTTTTATGCGTGCCCTAAAATTAATGTCGAACAAAAAAAAAAACACGGAGGGCACTTATTTAAAAATGGGTGACGTCTAGAAATGTCGCTTTATATTTTTTTAATGAAAGGCGCGTTCTCTTGTTTTGCAGCTGGGGGGAAACAAAAATCCCAAAATTTTGAAAGGCCGCCATTGTTACCCTCTGCCTTATTTCCATCGTTCTTCTCTCTCTCTCTCTCTATCTCTCTCTCTCTCTCTCTCTCTTTTTCTCTCTCTATCTCTCTCACTCTAATACCGAAAAAAACCCTAATAACATCACCAATCCTCTTTTTTCCCACAACAGAATCACAATATGATCCCGTCTTTTGAACAGATCAAACCCACAGGGGTTCTCGACGAAAGAGATACCGCTTCATACGAGCCCTAATTTCTCATCTGAATTCGTTAACTTCTTCAAATGGTTCTCATACTTTTTTCTCTCTCTACATTTTCTTCTCCTTCATTTCTCGATCCACAGAAGGTCAGGAGAATGCTGCGTCTGCAATCAGATTGCTAGGTCGTAATCCTGAGAGCGTTGAACGCCGGTGTATGCTCGGTGTTTAAGGTCCCATGAAAGAGTAATCAGTTGTCACCTAGGCTATATTGTTCGATTAACACAATTCATCAAACCCTAGAATCGTAAAGGAAACCTAGCCCCCATAGCTTTCTTCACACTTCACCTCCTCAAATCTCACCTCACAAAATCTCACCTCACGCTCTTATAGTTCTCTGTTTTTTGTGACTCGTTTCAAGGAGGTTCTTTTTCATTTCTCTTCAATGTTCGATATGTTTGATGCTACTTTAGATCATCAAGATAAGGACTAGTTGAATATCGAGAGGTAGTTTTATGGGCGTGAAGCTCTAAATGTGATTGCGTGTGAAGGAATGGAATTGAGCATTCCTCCCCCTGGGCTAATTCCCCTAGCCATGGCCTTCTTCACTCCAAACTAGGTATGAACATATATTTATGTGTATATATGTAAGTTAATTCATCGATGGTTGATTAGGTGTGTTTATGTTTTCAGTTGATACATATTAGTGCTTATTTGATCAAGGAAGTGGCAGGAACTTACAAAATGGTTCCTGTGTTAACCATGTTTAGTCAAAAATTGAATTCTTTTACAGTTTCAGTCCTTGGAACCTTGAAATAAATACTAAAATTGAAATGAAACCTTGAAATTAGGACCATAACTGAAAAATGCACCAACTTTGGACCAAACATGATAAACATCAGAAAGCACATAGACCATTTTTGTAATGTACTCTAATTTTAGGTTGCAAGGGCATTTCAGGCAGCGCCTAAACTTCTATGTTTGAAGATAAAGTTTCAATTCTACGTTATGCTTTGCAAAGGGCTTTTCAGGCAGCACCTAACCGGCTTATGACTAACAATGCCTACCTGGCTTTATTGGGCGCCTCAGTATGACTTCATATTCAGTATTGTATATATGAATTTTTTTCCCCTTTTAACAAACTAAAAAATAGTATCTTTTGGTACCAGTTAAATGCATCCACAATAAATGAGGGACTAAACTTCTACGACTCACAACATCGCTTTGAGCACTCATAACTTCTGTTGGTTCTTTTGAGTTCACTTCCACATGCGCCAAAGACTTTTCAGTGTCGCGTATTACAGGTACTGTTGTTTCCATTTCTACCCTTGTCCCTAGAAAATGTATTTTGTATA